AAGATCTCTGCCTCCCTCGCTTGCAACCAAATTGGGCAATCTGTCGGCGTTTAATAGATGCAATCGGAATCTGCTCCCATTTGAGGATCTCCTAGGTGGAGATATTTGGTTCCGAAAGAGATGAAAGTGATCTATTTTGTTCGAATAGTTGATGTCCTTTTTATATTCATCTTGTAAGGAAAATAAATTCCAGAGTTAACTATTAACTTGGGCTTAAAAAGGGATTTTGGGCTTCTTTAAATATTTGGAAGAACATTTTAAATTTTTATTTCTATCTATACAAATTTTTCTGACCTTTGTTTAATTTATTTATCGTAATCAGATGGATATATGCATGTAAATTTTATATTTTTTAAAGATTCATATTATTTTCACATAAATAAAGATTTTGTTTATCTCATTTTATATTATTCGTATTTTAAAACATTATTTTTATAATTTTTATGAAATAACTGATGTGATAAAATATCAAGTTGATATGCTTGAACAATAAATGTGACATTATTCCTATATAGGCTTTTTATAGATATGAAATATTTTTTTTATTATCTCGAATTATTATAGGTATACAGTCTTATTGCTTTTACAACTATATTTTTGTTAAATTTCAGTTAGTTCGTGCCATGAATATTTCCATTTTGATAGCAGGACCAAGACCTATCATCCTAATCCCAATCGCAATCACAGTTTCCTCCAAGGAATTCCACATTAAATGCTCTGAGGAATTTTTCCATTGCCGAGATGGGTTTCGCCTCGCTCTGAGCTCTGAGCTGGCCTAATCCAATCGCCTTAAGGTAGGCACTGACATTTAGGCAATCCCTCGCCAAGTTGATTGCAATCCACCGCCGTCTCGTCCTTCGCGGCTCCTCGAAGTCCTCGAGTTGTGCATTGTTTGCATCGAGTCGTCGTTCTCTTCATATTCGGTGGGGGCGTTTCTGTCATCCATCCGTTTTTGGTTGCCACAGTGGATGTAAAAATTAATTTACCACCTCCGCTGGTGATGCGGTGATGCTGCCTTTGTGCGAGCCCCCTTTCTTCTGGCCAACTCAATCTACATTTGCATTTTTACACAGCCAAAATAAATATTTTCAGTTCAGATTCCAAAACAAAATATTCCTTTAAATAAATAGAAATGTACATTTTAAATTTATTATTTTTTTTTAAATGTCTCCTATGTCCGATGTCTTTTTTTAAAAAAAGCTATCGTAAAATGTTTTATTAAACCAATTTTTACCTCACCTAAAAGGATTTCTGCACAGTTTTCCAACTGTAGTTCAGATCCCAAAACAAAATAGTACCTTAAGTTTATCATTAAAAATAAAAAAATGGTTTTGAAAATTCATCAAATTTGTTTTAAAATAATTTCCTTTGGATAAAAAAGGTATATGAAAAATTCATTAAATTTTTTATTAAATTTCTTTTTTTTTCAAAAAAGCTATCATAAAATGTTGTATGAAACTAATTAGTATCTTATTTTAACGGATTTTCCCATTCTACAAAGTTATTGGAATAAGTTAAAACTAAAATTTAACAAGATTTAAAATGATGAACCTTACGTTTCTTTGTTTTCAAATGTTAAAAACTATGAAGAAACTCGATTTTCAATTGAAATCTTTTTTTGTAACGGTGTAAGCCAGTTTTCGGGTATCGTTTACAATCCATTTCATTCGAATAACTTTGCGCGTAGCTCCGTTCCGATCCCCTGGTAAAGTCCCCACTTTCTCCCCTTTTTCCCCTTTCTCCCATTTCTCCCACACTTTTGTTGGCGAGTGTAGCTGAGTGCGAGAAAAGTGTTGCATGCTCGCGGGCTAAACGCGAGATGAACACGCAACTGAAGGATGAAGAAGGCGGCGAAGGAGGAGGCCGAAAGACAACAACAGCAAAGCATAAAAAATAAGAACACACAGAGAGCGCGAGAGAGAGAGAGGGAGAGAGCAGGAGGAAAGGCACATTCAGACAGATAAACGAGTCGAGTTACAAGCGAGGACTTTTTTGGGACAGAAAGAGAGGGGGAGAGAGGGAAAAGGGGGGGCAGAGATAGCGAGGACCGTCTTCTTCTTCTATCTGCATCCCTGTCTACCTAGTGCCGTCTCGCTCGTTGGCACTGCATTAGCAGCCAGCTGTGAACGAAATAAACGTAAAAATATTTTTAGTGTGAACAAATTTCAGCTCGTCGCTCGTTGTAAAAGGCAACACAGAATGAAACTGAAACACTGCGACAAACGCGCACACACACACACACACGCAGCAGCAGCAGCACACCTGACATGATAACACACACACACACGGATACACAGACACAGACACACAGACGAACTGTGTTTAGTTAGCAAATGCCAATGGCTCATGTTGGCTGAAAAGAGATAGTGGGTGAGAGGAGGGGATCGGTGGGGAAGGGGAGAGGGGGAGAGAGAGGAGGTGTGTGTGGGTGTATCCCTTGTGCCTGTGTGTGTCTGTGTGCGACAGTTTTGTAAACAAACAAAGTCAAAAGCAACAAGAATTTCAGCCGACTTGAACGAAGATATTGGAGGGTCTCTCTGCAGGCTCTCCTTCCCCAGCAAGGCTTTACATAATTGCGCCCACCCTTATAATAAAAGAGTTCATTAAAAGCGAAAGCAGGTGACCCCATTACCTCAAGTAGTTCCCCATATCTGTTATATGTACCATGAAAATGATATCGAAGAATGGAAAGATTTTGGGGATCCTTAATGGATCTTGAAAATATTTAATAAGAAGACATTAGGAAAACTTGTTAGAACTTACAAAATAATATTAAAAGAGCTAATTAATCAGGAGAAAAACTTGTTCTTCTTACAATGACATTAGGTATTCTTATTGGATCTTGAAAAAAGGCTCCATATTTATATAAAGCTAATTTCATTTAAAATTTCTTTTAATAAAAGAGTCCATTACCTCAAGTAGTTCCCCATATCTGTTATATGTACTATGAAAATGATATCGAAGAATGGAAAGATTTTGGGGATCCTTAATGGATCTTGAAAACATTTAATAAGAAGACATTAGGAAAACTTGTTAGAACTTACAAAATTATATTAAAAGACCTAATTAATTAGGAGAAAAACTTGTTCTTCTTACAATGACAATATGTATTCTTATTGGATCTTGAAAAAAGGTTCCATATTTATTTAAAATTTCTTTTAATTAAAGAGTTCATTAAAAGCGAATGCAGGTGACACCATTACCTCAAGTAATTCCATGTATCTGTTATATGTAGGCTGTGAAAAGTATATCGAAGACCTTCTGAATGGCAAGATTTTGGGGATCCTTAATGGATCTTGAAAATATTTATCATTAAGTTGGCTGATCAATGTAAAATTATATGAGTTACACTAAAAAAAAAAAATGAAAATATTTAATAAGAAGACATTAGGAAAACTTGTTAGAACTTACAAAATTATATTAAAAGAGCTAATTAATCAGGAGAAAAACTAGTGTTAATTACAATGATATTAGGGATCCTTATAGGATCTTGAGAAAATGTTCTGTATTTATATAATGCTAATTTCAATTAAAATTAAAACCTAAGACATTTCATTTTTTTAATAGAAATTCATTAGAACAACCTTATTAGGTCTTTTATTAAACGAACTAATTAGAAAGAAAATAAGACAATTGATTTCTCCTGAAGAAAATTACTTTATTTTGTGTTATGCATAAATAAATTTGCTAGTTTCCCAATCATTTTGAAAAATACTTTTATAGAAGAGGGCAAAACATCATGAATAGATTTTTTATACTCTTCCTTAATAACTTCGTATCATAACTCAAACCATTTACTTTGAATTTTCCTAAGGTTGACTGCACTAAAATGTTTCAATTAAATATTTTTGTTATTCCTTGCCAAATAAATATATACTTAAGTACTGAAGCTGAGACTGGAGTGGTATTAGATTTCAAGCCGATTTACTTTCGGTTTACCCCTTCCCACCCCCCACACTTGTTCGTTCGATCAACAAATTAAGTTTCGAGTTCCCGGGAAGGGATAAGCTCGGATTGCTGCCGATGAGCTGCAGTTCACAGTCACGTTTCCCAGCTCCCGACTTCCCCTTTGGGGATTGAATGTTCTTGATTTCATTTCTGCACTTGATGCGGGATGCGAGACCGTTTTGCATGCGACATCTCGGTGGGACTGCATCTGAAATTAACAGAATTTATTTCATTGCATACTGCATGCAGCCCCCTTTTTCTCTGGAGGAAAAACAGAGAAAAAAAAGTGAAATAAAAAAACAAAGGCAACTTATTTTATGCCATTCGCGTCAACCGCAGAAGGCAACACAGAGAAACGCCCACATCCAACCCCCTTTGCACACACAGGGTTAAGTTTTTTATGCGCTTTTGTTTGCATCCTCTGCTGCGGCACATAGCCCCCCCTCCCCCTTCACCCCTTACACGGTTTTTTGTTGCCAACTGTCATGAAAAGTTCGAGTCGAGAGTTGACCTGAAAAGTGTCGCTCTGTGTATTTTTATGCCTTTCAACCCCCCCTCTAAACCCCCTCAGAAAAGCCCCAATCCTTTGCTGTGTGCTTTCCCAGCCACGCCCCCTTTTTCCACGCCCCTGGCCTCGTTATAATCTTCGACGTGCTGGCCATAGTTCGACTTTGTTGTCTGGAAAATCACTAATTGAACATTGCCGAAAAACTGAAAATAGTTTTTAATCAAAAAACAGGACATGGGGGGATTATCGATAAGTTTGATGGATGAGTCTCGAGAGGGCAAATAAAACTGGGCTTGAAGCATCCTTCGGCTGAGATCACTTCACACTCCTTTTAAGCTCTCTCCTGGAAAAGTTTTTGAGTTGAGAAAAAGTGCGGTAAACTTTTCATAAACTATCTTCGACAGATATTGAGACCGGAAAAAAGAAGAGGAATCTATAAATATATATAGGTATATATATGGATTTAATATCGGGAAATGTGTTGTGAACTATGCTCCCATACTTTCGCCTTTCTTCGCATTTAATTTTCTTTTTTTTTTGATAGGAAAATTATAAAGCATATTAAAATACTTATGGCAAAGTTTTGAATACCCAAAACAAAAGCAACAGCAAACAAAAAAATTGCAAAGTAAAACGAACTTGCGCAACAAAAAAGTTTCGCCACTAAAGAGCAATAGCAGTCAAGTGCAACAACAACAACAGCAACAGAAACAACAACAGCAACTAGCCGCAACAAGAACAACATGGGAAAAAAGAGCTCCAAGTTGAAACAGGATACCATTGATCGCTTAACAACGGACACATACTGTAAGTAAATCGAAACTACTATAGCTATTATATACCCCCAATTAAATGGTACAGTGCGTTTCAAGAAATATGATTAAAATAAAAAACAAAAATAAGTATGCTATAGTCGACTATCAAATACCCGTTACTCAGCTAAATGAGTGTGAGAGAGATGGAGATATGGAAGCAGCAAGGCAGTCGCTTGAAAGTGGCGCCACCTAGCAAAAATTCATTATTGCTAATAACTTTTTAACTAGTGGTTCGATTAAAAAACTCTGTTCTACATTTTGGTTGGTATTACCACACCAATAAAAATTGCATTTACACTTTTACGAAATCTATAAAGATGTGGGCTCCAGATTTGTAATTCAAGCCCTTTTTTTAAACTCTTCTATTAGTTTTGATATTTATTATTTTTTTTTGTTATATTTTAAATATAAATACGAAATTCTTAACTAATTTCTTTAAGATACACAGTAGAGCCCTGCATAAATGGATTCAATGAATTATTTTGAATTTTTGTTTTATATGAATGAATTAATTCGAATTTTGAGTTTGAAAGAATTGAATGAATTTGAATTTTCATATGAATGGCATGAATTCCGAAATAATTCAAACGACAATTTTTTTTAAAGCAGAAAAGGTCATAATTTTTTTATTAAATCTGCATGAATTTTATTTTCTAAGCAGTTAACATTGGTTTAATATTTTCCAATTTTTGTTCTCAAACGAAAGCACAACAAAATCTGGCAAATTCAACAAATTCATAAAAATTATTCATTCGATTCATTCATTTCGAAATGAATTAGAACAACATTCAATTTATTTCACATAGAATTGAATTAAACAAATCAGAAATTTTAATGGCATACTATGATAAAACAAAAATTGAATGATTCTTGCAGGGCTCTAATACACATTATATTAAATTTCTACACAATAACTTAAATTGATCTGGAATTGCCAATTTTAACATACCCATTTATATATCCTTAAAGACCTGAGCTCCCCCAATAAACACTATATCAATTCCACATCCTCCCGATTTTATTATTTTTCCATCCACAATGTCTGCACTCTAATGTTTTTCCACCGAGCCCCGTTGATTTACCTTGTAATAATTCCATTTCCTTATTTATTTATTTGTTTGTTTTGTCCGGGCATTTATGCGATTGCCCTTCGCTTTTGCTTTTGCAACAACCCATTTTCCCTCCCATTTGGAATTTTCTCATTTTGATTTGTTTTTGTTTTCGTTTGCTCGAGCATCAATCAAAATACGGAAAGGTGCAGACATTTTCCGCGGTATATAGTATATCTGCCAACCAGATAAATGCATAATTCAAAAGTGTTTTCCCCGAGCAACTTATTCATCAGCCGAAGAACTGACTCATCAGTCATGGGCGAATGGCAATAAAGTCACCCGAGTGACGGCAAACATCTGAGACCGATACCACTACCGTTTCGATTGAGAAACTTGGGATTAGCCCCGGCTCAAGTTCGGTGCATAAATGGAGTGCCAAGGATCCAATCGAGGAATCTGGCGGAGCACTTGACATTTATGGTTTAATTTTATCGCCTTTCCCCGTAGCCACTTTTGCCGCTACTTCGCTACTTTGTTATAAATTGACATGTTATTGTTGCTGAAAGTGACAGCTGCAGTTATTGGTTCTTTTGAGCTGAGTTTTGGGCTAAAAATTGTGGGGTTTGTGCACTTTTTTTGTAGCTCAGTCAGAATGAAAGTGCTATGTTGGCTTTAAGTACAGATCAATGGTTGTGTTTACCAATATGAAGGAAATTACAAATACAATCGATTTAATAATAAAGTAACTACAAATTGCAACTCTTGGCCAAGTAATTAACTCGATTGTAATAGAGTCTGGCGTTTTAACTGCTTGCTTTTTGAACTGCTTGCTCTGTTTATGTTTAAATATAACTTTTTCAGCTACCACAATCAGAATGAAAGTGCTATGTTGCTTATAAGTACAGACTAATGGTTGTGCTTACCTAAATGATGAAAATTACACATACAATCGATGTAATAAAAAAGCCACTACAAATTGTTAGTCCTGGCCAAGTTATTAACTAGATTGTAATAGTGTCTGGTATTTTAACTGCTTGCTTTTCGAACTGCTTGCTCTGTTTATGTTAATATAGCTATTTTGAGCTGCGTTTTTACGACGTTCTCCCCCCAATCGACAAAGTAGAACATTAATTGTACGCTTTGTTGCTCCGCTTTACCTTTACCTTCACCGTTGGTAGTTACCTTTACCTTTATATTTACCTTTAGCTCCTCTACCGCTTTGTGGTTACCTGTTACCTGTTGTTGTGGCCCATACAATGTGTTGTGTTAACTGTTACTATTAGTTACACCTTTATTTTACGACCAACTCTTTGTATCTCCTGCAGGAACTTCTTCTTCTTTTCTTCTTTCATCTGCTCCTTTTACTGCTAAGCAGGACATTACATTTACTTAGCTGGAGCTCTGGTTTTGCTCCTTTTTTGTGTGTTGGCCATTTGGGCTCCTTAAAAATGCAAGTCAGAAACTTTTCGAGCCCAAAACTTTGTGACTAATTGCTTTCGTTTTTTTCTTCTACCCTCTCTGTATTTTCTTATTCTGTGGTCCGCAGGTCCGAGGTCATGGGTTAATCGGGGGTGCAGGGAAAGGTGGTATCCACCGAGCAGGGCGTATAAATAATTACCGTTGGGCATTTGCGGGCACCTGGCCAAAAAAGGGGGGAGGGAAAAGGGACGTAAGGAAAGTGTTGACAGATTGCTGCCAAAGTTTTCACCGTTTTTTAATGGCTTTTCCTTGAAGTTGTTTGTCTTGGCTGGGTGGTTTTTCCTCAAGGATGGGGAAATGGGAAAATGCGGTGGCTGAGCCCGGCTGAAATGGAATTCATTGGGCTCTGCTTAAATATGCAACTCAATAATTGTAATCCTCTTCCATGAAATGCAGCAAAACCCCCCCCTTCGCATATTTACCACCCCCATTTGAGGACCCATTGTATATATATGCAACAGCTGCTGCTGCTTGGCTGAGATTTGCTTGTACAAGCAAAACAAATGAATCAACTAAGGACTCAATTTATTGCCAACGGGTCGTATGAACAATTTCTGCCGGCATGGGTCAATATTTGTCCTGTCCATTGACATGCCAATCAATTGGACATTAAACTAACCCCCAGTCCCCCATCGTCTATCGTCTTAACCCTCTGAGGCCGTAAACTAGCCAACTAGGCCCCCGTTTCCCCGCACACAATGAAATAAATAAATAAACAGGCAGAAATTTGATTAGTTCAGGCGAAGGGTGGAAAATGCAAATTCCCCAGTGCGTTTAGGCCCACACACAATCATCGATGGAGGGTTGAATTAGGGCCAGGGACCAGGCTAAAATGCAGGAACCGATTTTGATGAGTTAACTTAACCCTAATGGTGGCTAAGACATCTTTATTTTAATTTAAATGCCTATTAGTTTTGGACTCTTTTTTTCACGAGTTTAACGATATTTAAAATCAACAATTTAATTCATATTTCCCACATTGAAAAGAATTTGACCAAACATATCTTATTTTAAATTTCTTGTTTACAAAATTCTACATTTGGTATTTTAAAATAGTATTTTTATGACATAACTGATACAATAAAATAAAAATTTGATTTGTTTGAATCGTAAATTTGACATATCGGCTTTTGATTGATATCGATTTTCTTATCTATTTCTTTTGTGTCCGAATTAAGCCTTTTATTACCATTTGAAATATACAATTTTTGCAGGAATAATTATAAATAACAATAGACTAAGCCTTGTAAAGCGGAAAATATGCACAAAAAGATTGTAAAAGATAGCTATACGACGACCAGCATTAAAAAGTAATAATTATTTTATTTTTGCTACACTGCATATACAAATTTGATGGCAATTAAATGAATATTTTATGTTTGCCCTATCAAAAAGCATGCAAAAAGTACAAAACAATAAAGCAATTGAAGGAATGAAAATATGAAAAATATTTAATCTGTAAAATAGGATCAATTCGGCCATTATAAAATTGGTATTTTATTTTATGTGCGCTTTTGGTGGAAATATTCGAAGGCAGGAAAAGTTCGATGGGTGGTTCCTCGAAATGCCAGCGACAATTGCGCACAGCAGAATGAATATGTTATGCACGGTCATCAATCGATTGCGGAGGTGGGATTGGGGCTCGGGGCTTCCCATATCCCATATCCCGTATCCTTTCCAACCGGTGAGCCAACTTTGCCATCCTGACATCCTTCGATGCTGATCCGCAATCTTTTCCATCTTTTCCATCCCAACTTGAGCTGACAGAGTGACTCTTGCCATTCGAATGACAATGCAATTCGTGGTGGCACAGGCACAGGCAAGTGGAACCGATGGCAACAAGTCGTATGAGCAATATGCGCTTTATTTACAATCAATACAAGCGAACAAATAAAATACAAAAAAAAGGGGGGAATAAAGGAAGGCACTCACAATGCTGGTCCGTAAATGCCGTTATATTTTTACATGCCACACGTCAATAATACAAAACTGAAGGGGGTGGGCCCGTCTGTCCGTTTGTCCGTATGTCTGTCCGTCCGTTAGCCTGTCCCTTAGCCAGGCTATCGATTACCAATCAATTCTGCTCCTGGCGCTGGCTGTACCAATTGTTGACTTCATTGGATTGACATTCCCCTGCGGGATAAGGACAACAAATAATGGATCTCAGTTTCAGGGGCGGGGGGATAAACCTACGAAGCTCTCATCTTTCTGCGGCTAATTAAAATGCAAATGCTGCAGCGATTTGGTTGCCAGTCAAGTAATCAAAATGAAAAATGATAACGAAATGGGGCGAAAAAATACACTTTCAAAATCAAATAAAATAGATTTATTAAAAAAAATAGAAAATATTAAATTTAGGTATTAATTATACTACAAAAACAAGAGAGAACGCTATAGTCGGGTGCCCCGACTATCAGATACCCGTTACTCAGCTAAAGGGAGTGCGAAGGAGATGGAGAAAAACTTTGATCCGTCGTAACTTTTTAACGAATGGTCCGATTTAAAAAATTCTACATTTTTCTACATTCTACATTTTCTACATTTCGATAGGTATTGATAAACACAATAAAACTGCATTTTTACTTTTCCAAAATATTGAAATTTTTAAAATCGTATATAAGCGATTGTGGGCGTTAGAGAAGGCGTGGCACCCTTTTGAAACAAACTTGCGCTGCGTAGGAACTCCTAGAATCTGCATGCAAAATGTCAATCTTCTAGCTTTTATAGTTTCCGAGATCTCAGCGTTCATACAGACAGACAGACAGACAGACAGACAGACAGACAGACAGACAGACGGACAGACAGACGGACAGACGGACATGGCTAGATCGACTCGGCTAGTGATCCCGATCAAGAATATATATAGTTTATAGGGTCGGAAACGCTTCCTTCTACCTGTTACATACTTTTGCACGAATCTAATATACCCTTTTTCTCTACGAGTAACGGGTATAAATACTTGAATATTTATGGTTTATATTAAAGTTATTAATTTATAAGGACTATTGAAATAGATTTAGCTGCCTAACAGTAAAAATGAGAGTTTAGTTATAACTTCGAGAGTTTCTTTCAGTGCATTTTCTTCAGTTTATGCCCAAGGGGAAGGGCGGTCGGGGGTCCTAGATGATATATGAACCACAGCGGCATGAATAATGCGAGTGGCCGCTGCAGATAACTGGCAGCCATCGAGTCAATAGCCCGTCTCCAACTCCCTGAGGGTGTTGCTGGCCCCATGGTCCTGACAACCCCCCCCCTTTTCGGCCATTGACCAGGCAACACCCCCCAAGCCCCCGCTCAAAAGCAATTCGAATGTGTGTAATTTTGCGTGAATTTATGTTTTTATTTTTTTTCTCTGTTTTTCCACTGCTTCTCCTGGTCAGAGAACATGTGCGCCATTCACACGCCCAGGAGTCAGGGTGTCCAGGACCTGGGATCGGGATCAGGCTGGACATGGGCGGAGTCCCAAGGGGGAGCAGCGTTTAAACGTTTGGTAAACGGCCATTAGGCCAACGGCAATGGCCAAACAAAATGAAAAAAAAGAAAACAAAACATTTTATGCCGGGAAAACAAAGAAAAATTTTTATATGCATGAATGGTGGACGAGGAGGAGGAGCAGAAGGAGGTGGAGAAGGTGGAGGTCCAGATGAAGCCCAGGGCGTGGTCGAAAGACAATGAAAGATAATTCAGGGCTCGATCCGAATGAGTTCAACATTTGCATATGCGGAGGTGGGGAAAATCGGGGGAGTAGATAGAAATGGATAATGAAGAGGTCATTCCAGGAATTTCCCTATACCACCCCATAACCTATACCCTATACCCCTCCCCCCACCGAAGCACCCGAACGCCAATCAATAATAAATGAATAATTTAGCATCGGTGATTGCATTAGTTGTGCAGCAGAAATTGAAATTGATTTAGAACACTGCCAAGCGTATTGTTTATAAGCCCTCGAGCTACAATTATTTTCGTCCATTCAGTTCAAAATACCTTTTTGGGCGATCATCATATATAATGTATCCAAAATGTCCACAATGATTACATTTATTATAAAGAATTTGAAAATTATTGTTCACTTTTTCTCTACACCGGAAAAAAAATAATTATAGAATCTAAACTATTTGTCAATTAGTTCTAAACTATTGAGATTAAAAAATATTTAAAAATAAAACGTTTATTATATAAGATAAAGATTAATATATAAAACATTATCTTTATAATATTTAGTATAGAATTTATACCACAGAGTACACAAACTTTAGTATTAAATCTAGTACTATATCTAGTATATTTTTAATACAACGTTTTTTGAAAGTTAAATTATGTTTTTTTTTGTTTGGGTGTAACCTATATTTTAATGAAAGAGACCATAATTTTGTTCATTTATATTAAATAAATAAATTATTTTTTAAAGACCGAATATTTTTGTGTATTTTTTTATTCTAATTTGCAAATTTTTTGCTAGCCTTTGACTACCGAATGTTGGGACTTAATTTGTTCTTTATTTATATACCATCAGCAGTAAGCTCTACCTGTTCGATGGATTTAATGACAGCTCTTGTGTAAATAAACAATTGGCAAAATAGCAGCAAAATAAGCCATTGTTATTGTCAGCTTTGAAACGCACTGTACTCTGTATTTCAATAACAAAACGCACAGCCCACGTGAATTTTAGTGCTCAATTGAACATTTTACCATATTCCGACCCCAACCCGCAGAGCACCTCAAAATAATTCACTCGCACCTTGTAAATATTTCAAATACCGCATAAAAATTTAATCCACTTCGATTCGTTCTGTTTGTTTCCATTTGCAGTCACAGAGAAAGAAATACGTCAATGGTGAGTGGGCTGGGAAAAATACATATGATGGCCTGGGAATTAACTGAATTTGTTTGTTTTTCGCCAATATCTCAGGCACAAAGGATTCCTGAAAGACTGTCCCAACGGCCTGCTCACAGAGCAAGTAAGTATTTCTGATATGTGCAGGCACTTTAAGGGTATATCTGGTATACAGGACTTTATGTCTTTAAGTCCTTAAGTGCTTAGCTATTGGCTCCACCTGAGCGTGGCCAATTCATTTAAGTCAAACGGTTAATTAAGTTAATTTTCCGCCTTGCACCCAAACTCCTCGCAACCCCTCGCGATTTATGTTTGCTAATTCCACGACAGCAGCCACATCAGACACAAGGACTCCCTCCCCTCCTCCAAGGATAATACAAATGAAATGGGGATGGTGGGGTGGGGGGTGATTTCAGGGGTGGCCAAATGTGTTGACGACCCCGACTGCTAATGACATTGCCTTTGTGGATGTGAATGTGAATGTTGATGTTGCTGCTGTCGTCGTCGTCGTCGGCTGTTTGTTGATAATCAAGTTTATTAATGCGCGCATTATTCAAACACGAACTTGGCTCGCTCGCTCGGTCGACATATGTGCCACGCCTCTAATTGATTCATCTGCATTTATCTTCTGCCCCTTTCCCCTGCTCTCCCCCTCTCTCTCTTTCTTTTTCCTTGCTTTCTCCAGGGCTTCATCAAAATCTACAAACAATTCTTTCCACAAGGCGATCCCAGTAAATTCGCATCGCTCGTCTTTCGTGTCTTCGATGAGAACAATGTGAGTATGAGACCATTTAAAACCTCTGTTCCCTTCCAAAAAAAGGGGCTGGCCACGTCCTAAAAAAAAACAATTAAAATGTTTAAGCTAAAATACCACACATTTAATATCATTTTGATATGAATAACGATTATGGCTATCTTATTTTACATTATTTGTTTAAAAAAATACTACATTTTGGTATTTTAAAGTAGTATTTTTAAAATTTCTTGATATGTTTGAATCATAAACTTGACATTAATCATATAAACTTTATATTAATATAAAATAAGGTAAAATTGACTCATTTGCATATTGAATTTTTTTTCCTGTGCAAGAAAAGTGTTTTTCTAAACCATTTTCATTGCCAAATATATTATTTTATTTTATTGACCAATTTGGTTAAATTGAGAACTGGAAACTATGAAATTCTTAAGTAAATATTTAAAAGATTTTCTTTATAAACTTGTTTATAATTTCTGGTGTAAACTTTAATATTATTACTAAACAGAAGGAAAAGTTTTTATTTGGTTTGAAATACAAGAAATGGAATTTATTTACACAAGCCAGCACACAGTTTTGTATATAAGTTAATTATGTTATTTTCTCATATTGCCAGACAAAAGAGTTGGGTTAAATTTCTTTTTGGCCGTGCTGACGTTGGCCAAAAATGTGAGACAGCCACAAATAAACTGATTTCAGCAGGTTAATGTCCTGCTCTCTCACCGTTTTTCCCTTAAGTTTATGGTGGGATGGGTGATCATAAATTTTGGGTGCTTTTGTTGTTTTGCGTTTATATTTATTATTTATGGCCCATGGGCGTGGCCCCGCCCCCTCCCATCCTAACATCCCGAAACCCCCCTTCCAACCACAGAATGTCAACTGTCTGATGTCTGCACTGATTTGCTTTCTTTGTCTCTCTGCGCGCGTGTGTGTGTGTGTGTGCTTGTGTGCCTGCTTTCTTCTCCCTCTCTCTTTCTTTTCTTTTCCTTTCTTGTCTCGCCTTCCCTTGCCGATTTTTATGGTTCTCCAGGATGGCTCCATCGAGTTTGAGGAGTTCATACGCGCCTTATCCGTCACATCGAAGGGCAACCTGGACGAAAAACTGCAGTGTAAGTGGTGCCCTGTTTCCTGATAGGACCTTAAAAAAAATCGTTAAAAATTTCTTTCTTTTTATTATTATTTTGTTGCCACTACCTATCTGACTTGCACCACCAGGGGCCTTCCGTCTATACGATGTGGACAACGATGGCTACATAACGCGGGAGGAGATGTACAACATAGTGGATGCGATCTATCAGATGGTGGTAAGTGTGGCCAGAGTAAAATCTTTGCATTCTATTGTTACTGTCCGTCCGTCCGTCTGTCTGTCCGTATGAACGCAGAGATATCGGAAACTATTAAAGCTAGAAGGTTGGGATTAACGCCCCCATCTAACGCCCACAATCGCCTTCAATGACCTTAAAAAAGGTCTGGCGTCCATATTTTTAGAGATCTTGTAAAAGTGGAAAAGCAATTGGGTTGTGCATATTAGCAGCAAAGTATTCAAAACGATCCATTTATTAAAAAGTTATGAGCAAATAATGCATTTCCGCTAGATGGCGTCACATTCAAGCGACTGTTTGTTTAGTTAGGGGTATCTGAAAGTCTAGCGACTCCACTATAGCGTTCTTTCTTGTTTTTAACTAACCTATTTAAGAATAATTTCTTTGGTCTTTTTATTTTTATTTTTATAATCCTTTATTGCAAATACAGGGCCAGCAGCCGCAATCGGAGGACGAGAATACGCCGCAGAAGCGAGTGGACAAGATCTTCGATCAAATGGATAAAAACCACGACGGCAAATTAACATTAGAAGAATTTCGTGAGGGTAGTAAAGCTGATCCACGTATAGTTCAGGCGTTAAGTTTAGGTGGTGGTTAAACCGATTAACAATGGCCGTTTACCGATATAACCAACAGACCCAATTCCAATTCCACAAAAATCAAGCGCGCAATAAACCAAAAAAAAAATCCCTCGATACTGACACTGAAATTTGATCTAAAAAAAAACCGAAAAGTAAAGTAAAGAAAATTATTGGGGAGGGGGAGGTACGGTGCCACGCCCCCCTCCCCTTCGTTTGCATTCGCTTCTTCTCACTCTTCACTAATTCTCTTCTCTCTACGCTTTTCTCAATTCTCAATTCTCGATTCTCCGCGCGTCGCTTGCGACACTGAAGATGATAATAATTTTTTGATATATGCATAAAGTATAACTAAAAAAAAACAAGATGGAAAACCAAATAAACGAACCGCAAACGAAACGAGAATGAAATTAATTTTTAAATATACACCAAAATATAAATATATATATAGGAAATCATGGCGTAGTCAGAGCGCAGTTCATAGCAATAATGGAAAAACCAAAAATGATAGAAAAGAAAAGGCGAGAAATTAATAAAATAATAATAATTTTAAAATAAATCGAAAGGCGTGAGGCGCAAATCAATTTTTGAAAGATACACCAATTACGAGTAAACTAATTAAACCTACGAATAAATCAGCATAATTATACTATACAATTAAACGATACAATTAGAGCCGAAAACTAAGCCTACGAATCAATTGCGCAGCCTTCGAAGCAAAAGAAAAGAAAATGAAAAAGCTAAAGCTAACGATAAAGCGAGCTATCTAAACTCGATCCAAGTCAGCTAATTCCACTCACGACAGCCAACAGCAGCCACAATATCCACACTAAATATATATAAATATACATATAGATACATGTATGAATCCGAGAAGTGGCCGCTCACAAAGGACAAACAGAGTTCACAGTTTATAGGGGGGTTCCCAAAAGGGGGTTGCTAGAGTAAAAATGGCCCGAATAAACCCCTTGATAATCGTAAAATTATTACGAGAGAAACTTGTATAACCCTCTTCCCCTTGTACTTTCATTTGCTCTCTCTCTCTCTCGCTCTCTTTTTGTTGTGTAGAAAATGGCAATATTTAAATATCGAAAATAAATGGCATTGTAAACGACACTTTCGATAAGACCATCGATGATAGATTGAGCTATCACTATTGACATTGATATATCATCATGATATGATATGCCTCTTTATATTAGTGCCTTTGCTGACTTCATTTTTCTAATTTCGGCCATACCGCTGACCCAAGTTCTCGTAAGTATGTATGTGAGCATAAAGCTTTGGATATAATAACATGATTTCGATTGAGCCTTCTTCTTGAGTCTGTAGGGCTCAGCTTAAAGAAGTTTATAAGAATTCTAGACTACAGTCTCAGTCTCAGTGTGTTTCATGGCCAGCAGCCTTGATTTTGTAGTCCATCTGCCTTACAGCCATGAGACGCACCTTGATCACTACTTACTAACTCAGCTTCCTTTGAAAAGAGATTGAAGTGTCCGAAAAGCAGGGATTACAAAGAATGTTGCATACCCGAAAGGCGCTTTCGTTTGCTCTCTCTCTCTATATCTCTCTCTGTCTCTTTTTACCTCTATCACTAGCTCTTTTACCTCTCTCTCTCTCTCTCTCTCTATCTGTATGCTTTGCCTTGTTTTCCGTTAAGCGTTATACATACGTTCCCAACAACAATAACCAAACCATATTTACAATAACAACAACAAGAACAACACGAACATATTGACAATAGGCGGAGCAGAATGAGCAGGATGAGCAGAAGGAGATCCTAAAGGTCTTGAAACAGAAATCCATAAATAGCTGCGAAATCAAGCCATTAATAAATGATAAACTAATCAAAGAACGCACAGCTACAACCAGAGCCACATCAACAGCCAGAACATGAACATATATATATATATTATATTATATATTATATATATATAGACACAAACGTATATCCCCATATGTCCTCGGGAAGCAGCCGAACAAGTTGGAGCAAGAAGTTGGAGCAGTTAGGATATATATACTTATATATATAACAAATGAAACAAATCCATCATACGATTTAATTTCTATTCTATATGCGGTTCAGCTTTATTATTGCATTGATTTTTCAATAAACCAGTCAACCGTTTTACTATTCCGATGACTATCTATAAATACGAATCCCCCGCTTTCTCACGCCCCCCGAAAAAACATCACCCCCAACCCACTACTTCAGTAGACTTTGTGTAATTTAGAAAAAATGGGAGATCTTGGCCTCCCTGAGAAAAACATAAACACTCACTCACACACACACACACATACTGTATATCTCTATATAGTGCCTATGTATGTAGTAGTAATTCTTATTATTTCGCCTGCTTTGCCTTCTTTTTGAGAACATTCCCAATTGACCGATTTACGTTTATCTTTTCCTATGCTTTCCATGTATTTAAGCACCGAACTAAAAGAATAAACACGATGAAAAATTTAAGAAAAATAATGCCATGCAAAACAAAACCAAAACCCCCAAGAACACATCGACACATACGCACACACATAGCCATATGTATGTGTATATATATGCATATATGCCTAAACTTATATATATACTCTATATAGTAAGCACTGCAATCGAAAGCAAGTTAAGGAACTATAACGAAACCAAAAAACAAAAACAAAAAACTAAAAAACGAATACAAAAACGCTTCTATAAACCTCACTGAAATTCTTCGAAGAAAAAAACTGAAAGATATAATACACATACATACACACTAGCACACACACACACACACACTTGTACGAGTATATTAACAATAAACGTAATGCGAAAACTTAATCAATAATTAAATAATTCGAAAGTGATATAGCTGACAAAACAAATGTGTCTGTAGTCTAGTAGTTAAAAGAAATTGAAAGAAAGAAAAATCGAAAGAAAAAGAAAAACATTTATAAATAATATTAACTAAACTATTATATGACAGATGGAAATTGGTGGCGATTTTCGCGTTGACTTGTTAGTTTTTTTTTGTAAGGAGACGGCGGAAATAAGCAAATCAAACTGTAAATAACACTAAGTGAATCACGCACACCACTCCACAAGACACACCCCACAACCACACGCGCATAGCCACACTCATACACTGACAAAAAAGCGAGGAGTACCGAATAAGTTTGTTAACACCAAAATATAACGGGTCTTAAGTAACAAGGAAAAAACCAAAAACTACAAATAATATGAAAAATGCAAAAAAGAATTAAAAAAGTAAAAGAAAAACAGTAAGTTAGAGCAAGGATTTTTTTTTGTGGATTGAATTGGATGGGTTTGAAACGAAACGAATCAAGTCAATTGTAATAGCCGACAAAACGAATACGAAAACGACAAATGAAAATGAAAATTATTGAATATTTATATTAATTTACAATGGGCCGGCGAGTACAGCTTTTCCCAGTGAAAAAAGTCGAAGATGAAGATGAGTTTCTTTCCACCGCCGTTGACAAACCACACGAATGTCAAGTTAAACGTTTCACAAGCAATATTTTACATACTTATACATGCATTATATACATACATATATATATATATATATGGGTAATTATATATATATATATATATAAAGATAAATATACGATAATAAATATATATACATAACTTATATACACACACTCTGCAATAATGAGTCGACCGGCAAAAAATAGTAATAAATAATAATAAATAATAATGATAAATTATTGCATGGCCGAGATACAGATACACAGATATCCAAGCGAAATGTCTGACAATGCGAAAAAGAATTAACTTCAAAATCAGACGATAGCGAAGGGGAAAAGGAAATTAATAACATTTTTAGTGATATTCTTTAGCAAACTTGAATCTGATTTCCTTGCTAAGAACTCAAAACAAAATGTATAAAGTCAAGAGGAAGAATTCAAAAACGGAAAACCGAAAAATATAACGAAAACAACAATTAAAGCAAATGTCGTATATTTTACAAAAAAAACAAAACAAAAAAATTCAAAGAAACGAAAAGAAACAAATGCTAAAAAAAACGAAACAAAAGAAAACAAATTTTTTTCTCCCCATTTACCTGGACTCGACTTTCAGTTCGTTTGTATTTACCGTTATTTATCATCATTATTATTCCGATTATTCCGATTGTTATTATTATTCTGATTATATGGCAACGCCGAAGGTTACGATTATTGTGTAAACACACATGCAAAACTTATATGAAAAACACAAACAAAACCAAAAACCGAATCTTTATAGAACATAAAAATGAAAATCAAATTCTTTTACCAAGGAAGAAGAAATTTAATTATTTTTTTTAAGTAATCGCCTAAGGGGGAATGGAAAATTAATCTTGTTACTGTCAGAAAATATTACTTACTTCAAATAAAAATTTTAAAGCGAGCGTGTGTCTTTATTGTTCAATTCAAAATTAAATTGGGACATCCCAAGGTGGCAAAGGTGGGCCATTTAAATAATTATTTTGATTGAGGTAAGTAGCCTCCTCCTCCTCGGACTCCTGGGAGTTTGCCAGCTGCACTAAAAGTGCTCCCCCAAGTACACATGAAAGTTTCAACTTAATTGTCGGACTCTTAATGGGGCTATGGCTTTTACTAGTGAGCGCTTTGTTTAATGGCCAGTCACACGTGGCGTATGCGCAATCAACGGAGACAGCTACATGGCGATTACATGGATTTGCCCCCTGAAACGTAGACGCAACGTAACGTATACGCAGCGTTAGCACATAAATGTATAATGTTTGCACAAAGCAAACTTCAAGTGTCTACTAGATGGTCAGGCTGACATGTTAACAGTATGTAGCCAAGTTGGGTCAACTTTATTTGCCGGATTGATGTCGTACTTAATACTAATTGATGTACTTACATGTCAGTCCTGTGCTGTGTGAGTTTTCCATTGAGGAAAATGGCAGAGGAAAATTGATGCTGAAATAATTTACTAAAATGCCTTTGAAAATTGGCAAACGTTATTTAAAAAAAAAGTAAATATCGAAACTACTGATTTCTGAATATGATTTAACTAACGATTAAGAAACTAAAGTGTCTACGGAAAAAGCCAAACAATTATGTTATATTTGAGAATAGATACCCCTTTTAGAAATTTAAACATAAAATACAATACAAAATGCCCAGGAAAATGTACAATAAAATAATTCACTAAAATGCCATTGAAAGTTGGCAAAAAAATGTATTTCATATTTAATAAAAATCTAAAAAGTCATGGAAAAAAGGCAAAAACTATTTAAAATTAGGGAATTGCTAAGGGTTAGTCATCGTTTTACTAAGAAATACAATGGAAAATTTCCTCTAAATTCTAAATTGCTTTTGAAAATTGAAAAAAAAAATATTAAAAAAAAAAAATAAATAAATATTTAATATCGAAACTGTTAATTAAGGGATTAAAAAACTAAAGTGTCATGGAAAAAGAGAAGTCCAAAAAAAGGAGTCAATTTAAAATGCCCAAAAACAGGGTAAATCCATCAGACTTACTGCGCTAAATGAACTTGATATATTTCCCAGCTTTGCCACTTAATTTTTCATAATTCTCGTGGCAGGCCTTTTGCCACAAGTGTTGACATTTGATAATTTTCATTTAGCTGCTTTTCGTTTTTCGGCGGGCTTGGGGTGCGCATTTTTGATTACCTTTTGCGGTTTTTGTGCGTGCCGCGGGCGTTGGAAATTGGACATGAATAAGTAATGAATTTTTCGGCCCGCAGATGCGCTGACAGAGGCGTCGACGGAGGCAGCGGCAGAGGCCGAGGCAGTGGCAGAGGCGTCGACAGCGTGTTTATCTAGGCAGCCCAACTATTTATAATAAAAGGCTGCCAGATTAAAAACCAAAATAGATTCTGTATCTGCAGCTGCATCATCTGTAGCTGAATTCGAATGTATCTATACAATCCGCTTCATTGCTGGGTCAGCAAAATAAAACAAAAAAAACTAACCCCCCTTTACGGCTCTCTGCACGCCCCTGACCTACCCAACTAGAATAAATAAACAATAATTATAATTGGCCCGTTTCGAATTCGAGTTCGATTCTTTTCGGCATCGCCGGAGAGTGAGTAAGCCACAGTCGACGTCAGTGCCCACCCCCTTTTGAAAACAGACCCCCACCCCCCTGTAGGTGCGCCCATTAAATACCCCTCTTATGTACGCAATTGCGAATTTATTCTTCGCGCGTTCGCTGGACTGAGCTGCAAATTGAAATGGGAAATGGCAATGGAAATGGAAATGGACAACCAGCTAGTGATCAACCACTTGATCATCATCAACGATCCGCAGACGACGAGCAGTCCACGGGAAGTACTTCAACTAATGGGTTCTAAACAGATCGAAGAGGAGACTATTTAATTGGACTATTTGAATGGAAAGGAAACTAAAAGGGCAGCAATTACGGCTCGATTTAGAAAGCAATCAATATATATATAGGTAACTATAAACTTGTGATTCATATGCGAACAATGCATTTAATTATAGATTATTTTCGAAAGTATTTAATGCTACCAAGAATTTGAACTTAAATACTTTGTAGGCAGGCAGGCAGGCAGCATACACTATGGTACATCAAGATATGTGGGCTTTGGGTTGAATTTAAAATGCTTCATGATAATATTGGAAACATTTGTGTTTGTTTGGCTGTTGGCTATCCCAATGCTAAGCAGCGAAAATATAAAAAAGAATTATCTTAAATTCTACCGTAGAGAATGGACGATAAGAGTGTTCCAAAAATATCCTAAACACTTTTCTAGTTCTCTCAAGAACCAAGGCATTAAAAAACGTTACAAGTTGATACACTTTTTGTGGAAGAATAGGAAATGGAAAATGTTTTTATTTATAGGCTCGTAATGATAATATTTTTCTGGTTTTCTATTATTATTTAGGATCTTAATTAATTTTTTCTCAAACTTATTTCAAACTTTTAAGACCGTTTAAAGAAATTCCATAGAAAATTTAGATGGATGGCTGAATGGATGATAATATTTGTCTGGTTTTATTTTAAGCTATAATAAAGGCTTTTCATAGTTTTTAACAAAATTTCGTATATTATTATTTTTTTATGTTTTTTTAGACATTTTTTTTACTTTTAAAACCGTTTAAAGACGTCTTACAGAAAATTTAGATGGATAGTTGCTTGGATGATAATATTTGTCTAGTTTTATTTAAAGCTGAAATATTTTTTTTATTTATTTAGAACTATTATTTTACGATTAAGACCGTTTAAAGAGTACTTTCTGATGGTTTTTCTTTTTCTTTGTAAAAGTGTCTGCAAAGTTCGTCTAGGTGCTGATTATATCCAACCGATCTACAAATAGGAGCAGCAACAGCAGCCCAATAAACGTTTCGTTTGATTTGCCTGCTGCCCCGTGTATCCGTATCTTTATCTGTATCTACAGATGTATCTGTATCTGCTTTATTGTTTATTTGCCAGCTTTGTTGTTGTTCGCCAGAAATTTTTATTATTTACTATATTTAGGCAGCGGTGGAGGCAGAGGCCTGGCTGAGCCCGAGCAATAATTAGTCACCGCCGAATTACGATAGGCGGTACCTGCAAGAAATGCAAAGTAAATTCTTCAATTGCTCAATTGTGCTGCCGACGTCGACTGCGCGGCTGACGTCGACTGCAGCAGCGACTGCGACTGCGACTGAGGCCCAGGCCATTTGTGCGGCTGCTGGCATTCGATTGCCATTCGCACAAGTTGCATGTTCGCGACTCGATTTTCGGTTCGGTTTCCTCCTTGTTTTTTCTGTTTTCTCTATTTGTGTTTTTTCCCCCCTCTGCTGTTTTTTTTTGGCCGCTCGCGTGCGCTGTGCATATTTTAAATCACTTCCTCTGCCAACCCCTTTTTTACCACCCACTTGAAACCCCCTTTTCCCGCAGAGAAAAAACAACCAGTGAATTCTAATTAAGTGTGCGCGCTAATGCGTTAAACGGTTCTGCAATTTGTTTTTAAGCCAAAGACCAAAAGCCTTTGTATTTGTATCTCACCATCTCATCCGTATCTGTCTCTGTTTCTGTTTGAGTGGGAATTACATTTATAATTACGCTTAATCAGTCGATTACTGTCATCGCAAACACGGGCAAACCGAGGACCCACCGCAGCGTTCGATGACCACACAAATGAGTGCCAGGTATGTCGTTATTGCGTTCCCCGGATAAACAATATTACCCCATATCCAAACCCAATAATTAGGCAGATATCCCGTGGCCAAGGGGCCAGTTCCATTCGATTTGCGGTCCACATGTGGTCGGTGTTATCTTTGGGCACAAACTCTGCGGTCATTCCGACAGTTTGAGGGCCTCAGACCAATGACTTTGTCCAGTGTTCCGGTATTCCTGCCGTTAACCTGCGGTTAAACCACTTTACCTCAGACTTAACTTGCACAGGCAAAAAAAACAGGCAATGTAATATCAACAACCTATAAAAACTAGTAATTTACCCATAACATTTGCCTATGATCAGAAACAACAATACATTTTTTAAAAAATCAAACAATCAAAAAATAGTTAAGGTTAAATTTTGATGGATTGTTTTTTTGTTATCTTTTGTTTTTTATTTTTGTATTGAATTCTATCAGATATCATATGGAGAATTTAAGAGTCTTTATCTTTATTCTTATATTTTTAACCGAAGCTTTCTAAATATTTCAAATTTTTTTTTAATATTTAGGGTGTTTAATTGCGTTGCAAACGTTGTAAAGTGTAAAAGTGTAAGGCAGTTCCAACAACAATTTCTATACAAAATAGTTTTCAAAAAGAAATTGTTGTTGGAATTGATATACACTTTTACACTTTACAAAGTTTGCATCGCAATTGAACACCCTAATTAATTTCACAAGTTATCAAATTAAAGTAAATAACTACAGTTGTCTTGCGATCGCTGTATAACTTTGGGGGATTTTTATTGTTTTTTGTTATCTATTTAGTTATTAGGTTTTTAAGGTTATCAGGACTGAGGATATTCAGCATCATCCAGGAGATCCGAGTTCATACGCTGCATTCAGATGTAGCACATTGTGATAAAACAATCATTTTAATATTTTGTTATTTATTATTGTATCATATGGACACATAAAATACCGTAGAGTATTTAATAGTTTACTTACCTTTTTATTTTTAACCGATGGTTAAGGAACATTTATTCGGGAAGATTTGAAAATTTTTATATTTTTTTAAATTTTAATTTGGAGAATATCACAAGTTATCAAATTAAAGTAAACAACTACAGTGGTCTTTCAACCGCTGTGCAACTTTGGGAATTTTTTTTGCTTTTTAGTTATCAGGTTTTTTGAGTTATCAGGTTTTTTGAGTTATCAGGACTGGTTATATTCACCATCATCCTGGAGATCCGAGTTCATACGCTGCATGCAGATGTAGCACAGGCGCTTGTAGATGAGCAGCTCGGGCGAGGGATTCGGCAGCTGGCCACTCTTCCGCCGCTCGCGACCCTTCTTCTCCTGCTCCTCCCAGATGAGCTGTCGGCAGGCCGAGGTTTCCGGCAGGTAGCCGATCAGCAGGAACTCCACCGAGTTGCGCCAGCCGACGGCTGTCGAGTCGAAGGCGGCCACAAAGATGGCCAGCGAGGCGAGCAGGCGGAAGATGTCGAAGGCGTCGCCACTCAACAGCTGGGTGCCCACAATCGCCGGCAGGTGGCTCTGCAGCCAGTTGCCCCATTCGGCTCGTCCCAGAGCGAGAAACAAATCGCCGACGATGCCCAGGAAGGGCTGCCACAGCTGGCGATCCGTCCACTCGGCCAGCTGGAGCATCAGCATCATCTCGGCCAGCAGCATCAGCAGGTGGACGCGATGACGACACCGGCGGACCCAGAGCGGCCGGTACTGCAGGAGGGCCAAGAGAACGCCGCTGCCGAAGAAGACGCCCGCCCAGCGCTGATTGTCGCCCACGGGTTGATTGACCAGCGGATCCAGCGGCGACATTGTCTCGTAGGCCAGCAAACGCCAATGGTTGTAGTGCACGAAGATCCCGGTGAAGAAAATCAGCCAGCACTCGTAGAGATCGCGAAGAATCTCCGCAGAAACTTTGCGGTTTAGATAGTTTTTCATCTTTCTTGGAACTTTGGATAGTCTATGGAATTGTTGTGGATAAGTAGTTATTGTATGTTGCGAGAAGTTGAGACTGATAGTTGAAAGGGGTTAGTCTATGAGTTTCTGGGTGGCGTCTACTTTGATAGGGCCCCTTTTTCAAAAGTTCCCAGTATCATAGGGGGTTTTCAAAAAATATCGACAGTTTGATATTTTTTAATATTTAATTAGGGGATTCAATTGCGTTGCAAACGTTGTAAAGTGTAAAAGTGTAAGGCAGTTCCAACAACAATTTTCATACAAAATAGTTTACAACTTTTGAATACCCTAAATGTGTTTTTCCTTGAAAACATCGATATTATCGAATCAATTTTGTGAAAATATCAAAAATATCGATAATCAAGCTTTAGTTTTCCCTGAAAAACGTATTCTAAACCTTCTTTGATAAATGGTTCTCAGAAATTGTAAATTAGCCATTAACTTAGAATACTAGTAATTAGCTTAGACTATAAGTTTAAAACATCCGATTCTCTGAAATGAGGCATTAACTGAAGAAGAAGAAGATGTAGAGAGGCACAGGCAAGTGTTTATATGCATCGCTCTCTTTTTGTTTCCTCCATCTGTCTCTTTCTATCGCCTCTAAACACACACACACTCGTACACATGTGCCCATTGAAGTCCCTAGGCCTAATGGCTGCCACAGTGGAATAAATACTAGGTTTTGGCTTTAAAAAATTGTTTTAAAATGTTTTTTTTACAAAAATCTTTAATTTCTTTTTAAAGGTTTTTCGTTGATTTTCCGTTTCCTTCGCACAGAAATAAAAATAGGTTAAACATCTCCTTGGTGTTGTTCTAATTACTCAATTTCCCAGCCTTGCCTCCAAGGTGTCTGGTAACTACAACTAACCAACCCACCGTGCCACCTGCTACACCCCCCTCCCCCTTTTTTCAGCCCACCCCCCCTCCTGGTCGACGACTCGAAGTAAACAGCATTCGAGGGTAGTGTAAACAATCATTGACCTCGTTCATATTTCTTGGAGCGTTCGCTCATTTGCCTTTTGGCCCGAGTCCCAGACGTTGACTCTGCCTGGTCGCAATTAAAATTGTTGTTTAGCTAGTTGCCCCTGGACGACGTGGCCCCTCCTCCTTTTCATACCCACCCCCCTTCACATTTCCAGCTTTCGCTTTTTTTTCGGTGGAAGGGAAGGGAGAAACATTCGGCAGGCGGCGGCATTTGGGCACCAATTAGCCAGCCGAGAAAGAGGCAAAAATCAGATTCTATTGCGATTTCTCAGCCCCGGCAAATGATGATGAGCATAAAGCACAAAGGCAAGAGCCAAGAGCCAAGAAGCCTTTGGTAGCCAGAAGGCATCAAAGCCGGGAGCTGAAAAGAGCCAAATCACGATAGGCTCAATTGCTAAGACACAGAAAAAAGGAACAATCGGGATTCCGGTTAAGCCGACCAAACCGAACTTGGGCATACGCTTTTATAGGGATTTTCCCCTAATGGGTAATTTATAATAGTTGTGAAGTTTTGATAACCGAAAACCACTCAAATCCCAGGATTTCATGTTGAACTTTTGCACTTGCAGTTTGCCATAAAAGCGATTTTTTAAATGGCAAGCAAAGAGGATTTGGAAATCAGAAATTATGAAGCTTAACATTAAATAAAGACTTTTTTAATGGCTAAAAATAATCGGTGTTTTAAAAATAAGTTTTTTGCAAAGAAAATAATTGCAAAAACGATTTATATATAAAGCGAAGATTCTTTTTATGGGTTCTCTTTAGTAGTAGTTTCTGTAAAAAAAGAGATAAAATATGAGTGCAATACAAGCGATTTGTTTAATGAGAAGCAAGGGGATATGAAATGCAATTAAATGATGAAATTTATTATTATGCGAAATGAAAAAACAATTAAAGAAAAATAAATAAATACAAAATAATTTAGTTGGTAAATAAATAATAATAAGTAGTTAAGTAACTAAATATAGAAACAATTAAATAATAAAAAAAATAATAATTTAATATATATAAAATAAATAAACAAATATCTAATAATTAACTAAATGTATAATCATAAAAAAAAATAATTAAAAAAAAGCTCAAGCTTCATCTCCCAGTTGTTCTTTCCCTTTTGGCCCATAGGGCATCAAACTTTGCCCGAGGAAGGCGGAGCATGAGGCAAGTTTAAGCGGCTTGTTTGCAGCCAGCCCATTTTCCATATCCCTTGGCCTGAGAATGAGGATGAGACCGAGAATGAGCCTTAGCCCGTGGCCCAATATCGGAGGCAGGCAATCAAGGATAACGCGCATTATCCCGAGGCCCACATATGGAGGATATAACGATGGGGTCAGAGGGTTGGAAATTGGTATTTTGTATTTGGTATTTCGTGTTTGTGTGTGCGTCGCTGCGACGCCAGCATAGCGCTGGTTTAGCATTTTTATGTCTCCCGACGACCCCGGATTCGTCTTCCTCCATCTCCTGCTTTCCCTGGCCTACAGAGACATTATGTAGTTGGCTTTATCGCAAACGATTTGCCAAACACAATATGACGTCGACCAGAACCCAGAACCCAGCACCCAGGACCCAGGACCCGAGACCCAGGAACCAAGACCACGACCACGACCAAGAACAGGACCAAGTCAATGGCAATGACAATGGCATGGACCACAGAACCACACACACATTAGAGCACATGTGCGATAGTTGGCAGGCGACCAAAATGTCGAGGGCCCAAGTAAAAGTTTTTCTGATGGATTGAGCTCAACTATTTTATATTGTGTTTATTAATCGTTTCTTACAAAATTGAGATTAACGAACAAAAGAGTATACAAGTATTAAGTTTTTATACTTCACTGGTAGGTGGCGCCACTCTCGAGCGACTGATTTGTTTGCTGCTTACATATCTCTATCTCTCTCACACTCATTCAACTAAGTAACGGGTATTTGGTAGTCGAGGCTCTCAATTTTGTAACTTTAATTTTAGTTAGTTAAAAACTGTTTTTGTGTTTAGCCTTCAATAAGGTTTAATCAATGATTTTCACTTACCTTTGCCTAAGAAGAGTGTAAATTGTTTTTAACGGCTTGAAAATTTTAATTAATTCCAAAATATCATGTTAAATTAATGGTTATTTTTTGCCTACTTCGAAATTTGTTAATTTGTCGCCTGACCTTTTTCTTAATATGTATTTCCCCGCACACAGTGGCCATTTATTTTTTTTATATTTATATTCTGACCTGTTTTTGTTGCACCCCTTTTGTTGTTGCTGTTGTTGTAGTCAATGGAGCGTCGTTGGAGGCATTTGTTTACTTGACGCTGGTGACTTTTTAGGGTCCTCGGTTCCAGCGTTTATATGGGGCATAAAATTAATAATAACAACAAATGGTGCGGAGATGTGGGAGGATGGGACAGTTAAAGCTTAAAGTTGTGTCTTTCTGGGCTTTAAAAGGGGGAATAGTTTTCTACGGGATCTAATCATCAATTAGAGCTGCGTTTTTAATATTTTGACAGTCTGCCAAATCAGTTGCAACTTGCTTTATCGTCTCGTCTCGAATCCTTACTCAAATATCAAGCATACGCCACGTTTGCTGCCCCCGGCAAGGCACACACAGTCAGTCTGAATCAACCCCTACACCCTCTGTCTTCCACCCTCACCCTCCTATTCTTCAGTTCAGTCTGATGCTGGCGCCGGCATTCGGTGAAGTGTCTGGAAGCTGTCGCCTCTGGCTGGGATTGGGGGTGGGTTTTGGGGTGTTGGGGGTTGGGGGGTTAAGGGTAGAAGGAAGGGTAGGGGCACGTTGTCGAGCACCCGTTCACACGACACTTCAAGTGTTCCTCCTCCTGCTCTCCCTTCTCCCCGAGGGGCTGCTCTTGTTTGTTCCTGTTTTTGCCACTTTGCAAGTGCGTCTATTAATTTTCATATCGCCAGCATTTCTCAATACTCTCGACGTCTTCTTCTGGCCTTCGCTCATTTTGGCTTATGAGGCATTTCCTCAGCACAAACACACACACACACGAATTAAATAATTATGCGCTTAATTATTTGTTGGGCCTAGACTTTAATTACTTTTTAATTTCTATTTAAATGTGGCAAGCAGTGAGCCAGCTAATAGACATCTGCGGCGCGTCTGGAATGTATAAAAGTGGCTGAGCAGCTATTAAGCCACTCAAAGTTCCCCCCGAACAGATTGATTTCCCCGAAGAGCAGGCGTCAGCTGGCATTTCCCCTTCTCACTTCCCTATGTGTACCCGTTACTCGTAGAGCAAAAGGGTATATTGTATTTCCGCAAAATTTCAATACTTCGGAAGAGTGTAAATGCCGTTTTGTTCATGTATTATATACCTATCGAAATGTAGAAGAAATTTTTTAAATCTGACCATTCGTTTAAAAGTTATAAGCAAATAATAAAATGCAAGCAGTGCAAGCAGTTGCTTTGCTGCATGCCTATCTCCATCTCCCTCCCACTTCCTTCAGCTAAGTAACGGGTATCTAATAGTCGAGGCACTCGACTACAGCGTTCTCTCTTGTTTTTCCTAGTTTTTCCTAGTTTTTTCAACCCTCCTTTCGGCTGCGTGTGTGTGCATAATTTCCATTCGAGATTTATGCACTTCGTTCTGCATTTGGTTGCCTCTTCATTGTTTTTTTATACTTCGTAGCCAGTTTTTATGGCTACGGTTGATTAGCATAGTGTTTGTTGCACGCATTCCGAATGCAAGTGCCTTGAATTTGCCTAGTCTTAGCAGCTAAGCTCTTTAATTTCCACTTTGGAAGCGAAGAAATTGCCTGGAAAACTTTAAGGGGTTCTCCTTGGTTCTTCAACTCCTTCTTGTACTTGGCTCATTAGCTTATTTTAAGCGAAACGAAACTGCCCAGTGCCCGCGGGGCAGCCGAAAATTGCATTTGCCTGGCTTTCCCGACTAATGCAAAACTTATTATCCGCTTGCGTTGGCTTACGTGCCCCAAGCCCTCAAACTATTCGTTGCAACAACTATTCGCTCCTTTTTGCCCTGCCCCGCCCTTCATCGCCTTGCTATCCTCGGGCTTTCGCCCAAAAAACAGAGCACAAAATTTCTGTCGGCTTGAGGTTGGCCTACCGCCTACGTACCCCTCCCTAGCTCCT